GAACCTCAAAACCCACAAAGCAACCATGTGCCATGTTCCGTGCTCTAAGAAACTAGTCCGGTTGATACATTCTGTCTCAGAATTTAGGGTACTGCGACAGACTCGGAACATCCATAGGAGTCGTATTTATCTCAGACTCTCGACTTGTGCATTTACGTAACATGCGCATTTAAAAAACAGCTATAGGTCTTCAAGGAATTCTATATAGATCCTTGCTGGCTGGCATCAGGCTTAGTATCATGCCCAATGCGGTCGCTCCTACTGTTATTGCAATCGTTGGGTCCAGGCTACGACGTGCACAAGATGCACGAATTTTTGGACCATACACAGACGATGAGGGCAAGGCTACAGAATCCACCTATACCTAACAGTTTTTTCATGTCTTTTCCACAAATATCCCCCTACATGTATTCCGCATAGCCTCTTCAATGAAACGTACAGTAGCCTATGCTTGTTAGTTGCTGTTCAGGTTCCGTCTCAGTTGGAGGGAGCTTGTGCCCAAAACATTAGCTGGGTTGTAGTTTTGGGGCTCTGAAAAGTATTTATGAATAGGTACCTCTAGAGGAACCATAAAGGAAATTAAAAAAAATCCCAAATTGCCACCTAGTTAGGAGTATCTTATTGTAGTAGGCTCTAGTAAAGGATGAAGTAGTATAGCCGCGCAGTTCAGTATTTAGTAACGTAGAGCATAGTCTATTTGACGCACAGTCTCTTCAAAGTATAATCGCCCTGCAGCCATGCCCTCAGACTTCTGACTCTGTTCTACAGGTCGCTCGTGGCTCTCGCTGGCCACCGGAAGCAGAGACGAGCAGGTTTGATACCTTTTCTGTTCAGTGCCCTGCTGATTCGAGTCAGGGTTCAGGACTAGTAAGGGTTATGGGGGTTCCTTGCTATAATTATAGTATAAAGGGCCCCAAAACCCTATTCGACTTATTAAGCCCCCCTATATTCGTCGAACCGAAATCCCGGCCCAAATGTTAGGGATCCGCCACCTGCAACCTTGGACATATGGGAGTCTCCGGAAATATGGGACCCTAACACTATAGTACCTCAAATAGAAAAAGGATCCATTTTTTATAAGGACCCCAGCATAAGGTACCCCTAATCTCCGGAAACTCCCTTATCGGAGAGAATAGGATTTTGATGGTATGCTACCGTATACTCAAAGAGCGCTTACAACGCTAGTGAAAGACTCCCTACGAATCTGAGTTTGTGAGGCTTAATCTAGGGCATTGAGCCCAACATGGTTTGGGAGCATAGGGCTCAGATTCGTGCACCGCATCCGACACCCCTCTCTGCCTCAGTGAGCTTTCGGAACTTCGCAGAGGCATCGACACCAGCAACTGCTGTGCAAAGGCAAGTGGTGAAATAGGACTGACGATTTCAATGGCAGCAAAGAGTCAGTTCCAAGACGGCAAAGCTCGCAAACGAGAAACTGCTGCAGGATGTTTTCATGACCTCTTCAAAGATCTTGACTCCGCCGTACTACAAGTGATGTACAACCCAAACAAGCTTGTAACCATAAGCCCGTTCCGATAATAATTATGCTAGACCCAAACGATAACCCTGAGCACCATGCGACCCCTTCAATGAGAAATTCGTGGCCGCGGCGTTCAGGTCTGCGTAGTCTCAGCTGGGTTTAGCTGGGGCTAACTCCAGCAAGCATCACGGCCCGAAGATTTACACCACACTTGCCGCAAGCCCTACGCTCTAAACCCTAAACCTTCTCGCCGGAAAGGGCATAAACAATAATCTAACGATGGTGATCAGGGACTTGTCTGATTGAAATGATGGCAAGAAATACAGGGGCATCACTAGAGTAGCGACTTGGGTATAGTGAAGTTGAGTGTCGAGTACAACTATAACAAGGAACTCTAGGGAATTATAGTACAGTTTTAAAAAGGATCTCTAAGGAAACTATTAATACTTCTTGAGGCTTCTCCAATTATATCCTGACCTTACTTGGTTAACGTTTTGGTGGCCTTAAAAGTATATATGAATAGGTACCCCTATTGGAACAGTAAAGGAAAATTAGCAAGTTTCCCGAAGTGCCACCTAGTTAATGTAGGAACCTGATTAAGAAACCCTGGCCCTATAACAGGGTAGGACTCAGAAAAAAGAACCCATCTAATAGAGGCTCAAGGTTTCTTAATCACGTTCCTACATTAAGCTTGATCAAACTTAGAACCCTGAAGTGGCTCTGAATGAACGGAACCTTCCGAGCGTCGAAGCCTCTTTGCCAGAATAAGAAGCGACGAAAATGGACGCCGTCATTGCAGCGCAGGCGTTGCAGCCGACGGCGTCTTGTTTTATGATGGGACTCCGTTCTTCTGAGTCTTTGGCTTTCGTGTTGAAGACACAGCTACGGACTCTCTAGAAGGATGTACCAGAGGGCCCTAAATAATTAATAATACTATTTGGGGGGTTCGTTATTATAACTATAGTATAAAGGGCCCCAAAACCCTCTTCTCATTATTAAGGCCCCTACATTATAGCACCCTCATAGATCCCTTACAGTAATCCCCCCCCCATAGACCCCTTTTAAGGAACCCTATTCTAATTATTCAGGCCCCTACATTATGAGTACTTTGACAGTGCTGCCTCAAGGCTCGGATCATGGTCTGGCTAGGGTAGTTGTCAAAATAAAGGGTCCTTTTTGGCTCCCCGAAATAATAGGTGCCGTATTAAAATAGGGACCCAACAGGGACCATAATTTTATACCAGGACAAGGACATAATGCCCTGGGTTGTTATTTTCTTTGGCTCTGAAAAGTATTGATGCATAGGTACCTCTATAGGACCATAAAGGGAAATTAGAAAGTTTCCCACATTGCCACCTAGCCTGATAGCTGCCTTTCTTAGATCTTGAAACTGACAGCCGGACAAACCCATAAGACAAATGCTGCACAGAAAACCGGATGCATCCTCCAGGCAAATGATTTATGATAGGAACCCTTAGGGGGTAGGGGGAGGGGGGGTTAATGCCCATAATAAGGATTTAATTTAAGGAAATATAGTCCCCTACCCCCCCCTCCCCCTACCCCCGTTAGGGCCCCTATGAATTTAGGCATATGCGCACACATCGACAAACCTGTGCATGCGACAGTGTATGTATGCGCACCTCTGTAACTCGCCTGCAGCCCACAGATCCTAGATGTTCATCTCAACAAACAGGACAAGAACTCCACCCATTCCGATAACAGCCTATACTGCAATCCGGCATTGACTGTAGCTCCCCGATTCCCTTAAGCTCCGTGCTGCAACATTGCCTTAAAGCAAGCCCAAACCGTTTGGGTCTAGGAATTATGGGTTTAAAGGGTTCAGGGGCTCGGGTTCCCAAGATTCACTGCACCTCGTATATCGCCGACTGGCCGGAGCCCCATAAGGACACCAGAGAGGCGCGAAACACCAGAAACTGAGCCTTCTGAGACTCGAAGATCCCGAAGTAAGATCCTCCTACTCCTACTCCGACTCCTACTCCTGCTCATTACTATTACCTTTACGACTACTACTACTCTAATTACTACTACTATTACTACTACTACTGCTACTACGACTACGACTACGACGACGACTACTACTACTTGTAAGATATTTTGATGTGATTGGGCTTTAGGGTTTAGGATTAATAGTTTCAGGCTTTGGGGTGTAGAGCTTTCCGAAGGGGTTTAGCGTGGTAAGAAGGCCTTGCAACAGGATCCGAGAACTATGAGATTTTGGATCGAAACGCGGGGGCTAGCATTAATTATTCTACTTTGTTTAGGGTCCATACCGAGGTCTCACGAGATCCGAAGTTCTCTATGCTGCATTACTTCTTTGAGGAGCTTCTCTTTCCGGTGCAATTTAGGGTTTATGGTTTTTTTCTGAAGGTTCGAGGCTTGAGCTGGTTTGGGGCTGTGAATGATTGACGCTTCCAGGGATCTTGGAGTCTCCAAGCACCCCAGCCGCCGTAAGCTCGGCGGTTTAAGGATTTCGGTTCTCAGATGAGCGATGAGTATAGCAGCAGGACAACAGGTTAGGAATGCGAAAGAACGCTTCCGCAGCTCATTACTTGTTGCCACCGAACTGCAACAAGGCTTAGTAATTTCATGGGTGTTGGGGTATGTTATGGCTTGAGCTCATTCAGGAACTCCAAACAATAGCATCCGTACTTATTCTAATTTTTCAGGCTTCTACAACTACTACCTTCGGGCTCGCTTCAATGCCTTCAATTCATGGGACGCATGGAAATTGAAGACCAAGGTCTCTAAGCTTTGTCTTCTTAGCATCCAGCCGCGGCTTTACGGGTATTAAGTCCCTGAGACCCAAAGTAAACATCATAGTATGTTGGTTGAAATGGCAAACGATGAGCAAACATGAAAGTACACTGGCTCAAAATGGCAAATGACGAGCAAGGTGAACTCAAATAAAATTGGTCCACAATTTAGGTTTTGGGAGTCTGTGGGACGTCATTCGGCCGCGCCGGGGATGTTGGCAAGTGTCGGGGAAACAGATCTGGAGTTGTTCATACAGCAGCCACAAGTGGGAGTTTCCGAAATTAGGGGTACCTTATTTAGGGGCGTTTATAATAGGATCCTACTATTTGGGGTACTATATTAGGGTCCCCTATTTTCGGAAACTCCCAAGTAACACGGACACTTTCCGGCGATTCCGTTTAAAGCTCAGTGGCCTGACTTAGCCCTCGACTTCGGGAACCTTATATAGGTGGGAGTTAGGATTAGGGGCGGGTTTGGGGATATAGACCCTCTCAATAAGGCCCCTTTTCAGAGAGCCAGAAGTAGGGTGCAGAAAGGGTACCCTTCAAGGGGTCTCCCGAATAAGACTACCTAATTAAGGCGCCTTAAGAATTAGATCAGGGCTTGGGGTCCTGTTCTACTTTGAGTACAATGACGGAACCTTAAGGTATCGGATTGGTAACTACATGTCATGATTCAATTCCGTATTAACTCAGGCATCGGCCCCGAACTCCTTGTTGGGAGGCCCCCACGCCTCTGCGTGAGATCACGGCATTCCATCACTGTCTTCAGCGGCCGTCTGGTCGCCTCTGCGATCGAGTCGCTTCAAGAGAAACCGCACAAGAGGAGGTCTACCTGTAGTCTCCATTGTAGTTCCTTTTTTTGGTTTAACCAAGTCTATATTAAGGATCCTATCAGGTAACCCCAAAAAGGAACTGCAATGGAGACTATAGGTAAACTCTTAAACTGCAAAAAGGCTGAACCTAAGACCAGGAAACCATCTAAAGCCTCTTTGGCATTTGAGGAGGGCTCCTGTTATAAACACGCCTCAGCAGGCAAAACTTGAAGGAAGAAGCCCAAACCTGGAGCAACCTGCAGATGTACCATAGCTCCTACACCTACCACTGTTTCTGGTTAATTGTTTTTTTTTGGGGGGGGGGGGTTAGGGTTTAGGGTATTGTCTGAAGACGAGTGGATACAGCCTCGCATGATTCCAGGCACTGCATTTCAAGAGCTTCACGCTTCTACTCAGGGCCTCCTTTTACAAGCCGGGACCCTAAACCCTAAACAACCCTCAACCACCCTATCCCCAAAAACCCTAAACCTCAGGAACAAACTACTGTATCACGGGGAGCAAGAGAGGGCAGTCCAAAAGACCACGGACAACCAGGACATCCACAAAAAGCACCCCGACGCATGCCGAAACGGCAACCCCAAAATATAACATTTACATGATATATATATATATATATATATATATATATACATACACACACACTTACCCTCCAAACTGACCAGAACAATCTACGCAACCCAAAACCACAAAACAAGTGAATACACTTATTCGGCTTCCCTAAATCCACCACAGTAGTATCGCCTCCGATCTGGGTAAAGCTCCTTCTTTAGAGCCCCGAATTCCAAAACCCTGAACTCATGGGGACCCTTATGGGGCTAGGGGAGGTGTAGGGGACGATACTTCCTCAAAATTGGCCTTTTTAGGTTCTCTCATTATTCACATTAAGGCCGCCTACCCCCCTACCCCCCTAAGGGTCCCTATGATAAACCCCTAGATGTGCGATAAATGCCTGGCCCCCCGCTGTTGCCTACATAGTGGGAATACTGTGGGTGGATACTGCCCCATACACTGCCTACTCCCTAAGGAACCTCACAGTATCCATGATTCTATCAACCGCTGAACCGCGAACTCAAATGCTGAACCCCAATCTCAAAACTCAGGAAACTGAATACACTCATTTTAAGTTATGACAAATGGTAATGTGATATGAACGGCATCTGACATAATAACGAGAAAGTGAAAAACTTAACATTCTGAAGCGTCGCCTCCCATACCGCCCAAACCCTGAATCCTTACCAAAGGGCCTTAATAATTAGAACAGGGTTTGGGGGCCCATTATACTACCACTATTATCAAGAACCCCCTCAAACAAGTGCATTGGCTATTATTTCGACCCCTATGGTACGGAAAGGGGGGGGCCGGCGATGCCTCCCACCGGCTTGGCCAGGGAGGCTCCCGCGCTGGTGACGCTGGCTTGATCCGGTGCAAGCGGAGCATCCCCAACCTGAGGTCTTTGAAGTTCCTTTAAGGTACCGTAATAAGGGTTCCTTGAAAGGGATCTAATTGTAAAGGTTGATTTAGCTTACTTAAAGGATCATGGGACTTAGTAACTAGAGTTATTATTGGGGTAACTATACTTACAATTACTTATAACCCCAATTAAGGCACTTATAACTATAGTTCCTAAGTCCCATGAGCCTTCAAGTACTCACCATGCAGTACCAGTCCACAATAGGGCTACTATAAAGGCCCTAATATATCTATATTGTAGAGAGTATTCAACTCTTGTAATGACAGTAGAAGCCAAAAGTTGGAAAGCCCATAGCCTCAAACCTTAAGAGTAATGTATAGGGAATCCCAGAACTTTTTTTACTCGATGGCCCAAAACCCAACGAAACAAAAGTTGAAACTTTCAGAATCGACTACCTTATAAGAACCCCGAAAGTTGAAAAGTTGAGTGGGCCCGGTTCGTGCCAGCACACATGATAATTGCATGTGTATGACACGAGATCCCCAACCTGCCTGCTTGTCGGGTTCCACATCCCCCCCAAACTCTAAACCCTATAAACTGTAAACCTAAACAGCCCAAACCCTACGCCCCTAAACCCTCAAACGCAATGTTCTCTTCAATTTTCAGACTTTGACAGGGCTTTGAGTTTAGAGTTCAGGCTTGGGGAATAGAACGTGCCGTCAGCAAACCTCGGAGGCTTCAGCAGATACAACTAGTACCGAGCCCAATATCCTAAACCGCAACTGGTGTAAGGACAGGAGAAGTATAATGGACAGATGTCGCCGATGGCAAAATCTTCAAATCGGAGGTTTCAATGCAACTGCGAAGGAAACCAAGTAGCTAGACGACTATCACCGGGACTGCTATGGGTTTCGTCGTTGTAGCTGACCAGTGGCATTTAGTGAGCTCCCTCATGAAGACTCTAAACCGCGAACCCTCATCCACAAGCCCGCTGACCCTAGACCCTACCTTCGTTTGCCAAGCATGGACGGCTGGCCTCCCTGCAACTCTCGGAGGACAGCTTTGACTGAGCTCCTTTTTGGTTCGGGTTGGTTTAGGGTTGGGCCCGGTTTGAGGGTCCTTGCTGCTCTCTGGCGGACGGACGCGTGGGCGAGTGGTAATGGTGTGAGGGTTTAGATTTGGAGGATCAGTTTGTTCAGAGATGTTTGGGGACCTTGCAAAGCTTAGCTTACATAGGTCTTTGAGGTTTACGGGGGCTTGATGTAGTTGTGGAGCATCTGGTCTTGAGGGTGGATCCCAAACGGCGAAATGTGGTAGCTCTGGCCTGGCTTGGGGTTGGGACTTCCCCCCAAACCTGACAACATGACTGGACCATAACCCCAACCCCGGAGCCCCTACTGCCACTGTAAAGAAACAAGCGAGTTAATAACACACACAAGCGCATACAACTTATAATATCTATGTGTATATATATATGTATATGTATACACATTATATATATATATATACAAATATGCACATGTGCGCCACTACTACAGGGCTTCCATATGTGTTTTCTAGGGTGAGGGTGCTACTGTTGCGCCATCGCTGAAGCCTGTGTAGCTGCAAACCTCGCCCCTGAGCTCTACCTAAAGCCTAGACCCAAAACCTTGTCGAGTTTAGGCTTTAGGGGGCAGAGTAACAGCACCCTTTGGGAATCTCCCAATCTCCCTGCCCAACCACCAAAGTAGGCGAGCTCCTTCCCTTGCAGATATGACAATGGCATGAACAAAGAGCAATAGTGGCTGTTAACTAGCAATGGTATAGTATTCGGAGTTCATACTAAAACTATAATAAGATATGTACACAGGTGAGTACACGCACACGCACCCACCCACACACACACACACACACACACACATGTACGTATTCTTAGATGATTACATACGTACACATCCACATCTGCGTCAACCTATATAACATACACACGTATACACCAGCGCATGGCATTGGGACAGTTCTTTTTGACGCTGTGCAGCAGAGTTCCTACGGCAGCTGCAAAACAAACCCTGAACCCCGAACCCCAAAACTCCAAGCCCCAAACTCGCAACTTAAGACTCCAGACCGTGAGCCTGAATCCCTAAGCCTGAACCTTTAATCCCAAACCCCTACCTATAGTCTCCATTGTAGTTCCCTTTTGGGGTTAGCTTATAGGATCCTTAATATATACTTGGTTTAAACCAAAAAGGAACTACAATGGAGACTGCAGGTAAACCCCAAACCCAAGGTCCTAAACGTGCGGCTCCTGCAGGGTCGGCTTCGCGAAGATCCGGCGTCTCTGCCTCAACGGCTCACCGAGCCAGGGAGGAATGCCGAGGAAGCCCATACTTAAAGGATTATGGGACTTATAGTAACTGGGGTTATTATTGGGGTAACTATACTTATAAAGGGACTTATAACTATAGATACTAAGTCCCATGATCCTCCAAATAGGGTTTAGGATTCACGGCATAGCGTTGAAGGTTTTGTGTTTAGGGTTTCGGGCGAGGTACTATAGGAGTCTTAATTAATAGGTAGAACAAGGACCTTGTTAAACGAATTTATATAGGGGTTACCATGAGCATTCAGAAGAGGGACCTTCGTACTTAAACTGGGGCTTTCGGGTATAACAGACTGTGGTAATACGGTTATAGTAAGGAACCGGAACCCCATTGGTAGTTGCTAAGACCCCTATATTACGGGTTTTTTTATAAGGGCTGTTATGAAGCTACCTTTGAGAGCGCCATGAGGGTCCATATAATTTGGTATATAAAGCAAGATTATCAGGGCTACTACAAAGGTTCCCGTCAGGGCTCTTTAAAGGCTAGTGTAAAGATTACCATGAAGGGTATTCCACAGGGATCCTTCCAAGGGCTCTATAAAACTTTTGCGAGGCTCTGCTGTTGCTTTTTTGTCGGTTTTTGGCAGGCTTCGCTCCTCTGTGCACTGAGCCCTTAGCCTGGGCTCCCGGTGTACAATGCATGTGGGTGGTTATCAAAATTGAGGTCCCTTTTTGGGTCCTTAATATAAAATACACGGCACCTAGTATTTAGGGTACCCGAAAAGGGACCCTAATTCTGACAACCACCCATGTGGCGCATGTTCAACAAGACATCCGAAAGAGGAGGGGACGCTGCCGTGCAGATTGAACCGATGAGAGATTTGCTATGTTAGATTATGACAGCGTAGAAACCCGAACGCTGAAGACGGCCCTGGCAGTACAAGCTCCACCTCCCCAGAGACTCCAATACCCCTTAATTAAATTTACCTTAAATTATAGTAGGATCCCTAATATGATTTAAGGAATACTCCTTAATTAAGGGATATTGGAGTCTCTGGGTCCCACAAAACCATTTCAGGATATAATGGTGTAATGTTTCGGGTGCGTGACGGCACCACTCAGTCGGTCGGAGATCAAGTATAGGACTATCGGAGCATTAGCAGCTAGAATAAGCCTTCGGGGCACTAATTGCGTTTTGCAGTATTGACCATATTTTGCCCTAGGGAGAAGAATTTCTGAATCATCGGGCCCTTAAGTTAGAGGAATTGCTGCTGAGGTCTCGAATTTGAGACTGCGTCACCAGACAATTCCAGCTACGGACAGAACAGAACAGATCAGGCCCCCTTTTGGCAACCGGCTTGCAACGTCACGCCACCTTTTGCATCAGGACCTAAACGCTAAACCCAAAGCCCGAAGCCCCCATCTTGGAGCGAATCTTGGAGCGAAGACGATATGGGAGATTCCGAAAATAAGGGGCCCAACTATGGTACCATAACTGGTAGGATCCCTATTATAATATTATAAGGACCCCAAAATAAGGTACCCTAATTTTTGGAAACTCCCACATGGAATCTCTCCACTTGGCCAAACAGGCTGGCAGTCTGGAGTCAGTAGGGCTTCAGGGTTTACCCGTTTAGGGCTTGAAAGGTTCAGGCCCTAAACCCTAAAGAGAAAACCTAAACCCTAAGGGCTTAGAGGAATTTCGCGATCCCACTACCTGCCAAGAGACATCAGCAGCGCACCCAACCGACACGTCCATGTCATCGAGGAGTTCGTCTTTAACCTGATAAAGCAGCATGGGTTTCAGTTTCTGCGTTTGACGTCAGGTTTTAAATCAAGTCCCGAAGCTGCATTACTATTATATATTACATGCTCTTAATGCGATGTTCTACCATGTCATTTCTTTTATAGTAACCTGTACGATTCTGTATTTTACTGTTCTGGAATATAGTACTAATAATATGATGTGGCTCTCTGGTGTTATTTGTTGCATCATGCTGGTGTATATACTGTTACATGGTGTTCTATTGCACTGTACTCTGCTGGATTACAAGAATATAGATATATCATACCGTATAGGACGAGGCTGAGCTATACCCTACTATGCTGTAACATGTTAGTTGGTACTGTTCCATGTTATCTTGGATTGCCCTCTGTTGTTTTACTCCGTTGTTATGAAGATAGTACCTTAAACCATCTGATGTAATGTTTACTCTTGTGATCTTATACGATCTTATAGTATCAGTACCTCCGTCCATCGTGCCACATCTGAACTAACCTAACTTATCCTGTCTTACAGTATTCTTTGCATTGTATTCTGCATGGAGGTAGAACAAGTGCATACATGTATATCCTATAGTATTGGGTATTACATTATATGACGTTGTGTCTGTAACCGGTTGTGCTATATTGAAGTATGCTATATGGTATTGTGATGTAACATCATACTGCTTATCGCATATTGTGTATATTGGTTTGCATGTGTTGCCTGATGTTTTTGTGTTATATTGCATTATACGATTCCATATGTCTTTGTCTAGTCTGTTCGATGATAACCACTGTAACATATTTCGCTGTGTTTACCATACTACAGTATGCAATACTGTCTTTTGCATTCAATCATACTAGGTCGAGCTGGTTTCTACATGGCATATTTGTATAGCGTGTTGACGTCGGTTATGATATGCTACCTTTACTGGTGCTGTTACATCAGTTATGACTCTTTATTGTTTCACGACTAGTGTAAACACTACGTGTAACAGTGTTCATACAAGTCGAAACAAAATTGTAACTGCAATTGTATTCTTGTTGATATGGTTATGGTTATTATGCTTCATGCTTATCATGATTAAGGTCATAAGCGCCACAAAGTGTACACTTTTCGTTTTGTAGTGAGTGGAATTATCACAAAAAGTGTAAAGTGTATCCACTCAACTACTAAGTACAGGCCCTACAATAGCTGAATCTTCAAGGTCCTGACTTGGAAGGCTCGCAGTTTTGCTCCCGCAGGGCGCGTCCAAGTGACGCTGCGAGGTTCACTTCTGCAACCAATGGACAAAAACCGTAGGGGCTGAGTAGCTTCGCCCAACAAGGGTTATATCATAACCACTTCATACATGGTGATGGTGAAAATACACAAAACACAAACAACAAAGGTTAACGCATGTATATATGTGTGTGTAGACATATATTTGTATTATCTGTCTATACACACAACAATGGTTCCAGTTTACCTACCCAGCCCCTAAGAAACACTGCAACAGAAGCGGGTGAAATCCGTTCGGGTATTCTGGCTCTCACTAACTATAGAAAACCCCGTAAAGTTGGAAACCGGATTAAGGCCAAATAGTGCTGGGATTCCCTATACATTACTCTTAAGGATTGAGGCTATTGGGTTTCCAACTTCTCGGCTTCTACTGTAACACTGTAGGGAAGTCGGACTATGAAGTATACGTCGACTACCAAAAGATCAACCAAGCACCTCTATGCCTTCACCCTGTAATAGTGACTATGAGGATTATATTAGGATTATATTCCTATTATATCACTATTACAGGGTGGGGGCCCCTTCTAATCTATGCCATTTTACTCTCTACACATCTGCGTGCTAAGAGCCTCGGGAAGGAAAGGTCCAGAACCTTCATGGGAGTTGCCGGAAATGGGGGACCCAATATAGACCCTAAATAGTCGGATCCTCAAAATAAGAAGCCCAAAATAAGGTAATTACATCTCATTTTCGGAAACTCCCTCATTGCCTAATAAGAGCGACAGCACAGACTCTACAGGTCGACTCTTGGAACTGTGCATGGGCTTGAAACTCGATGCAGCCCGATTCGGAAGGCTGATGCCCCCATCGCCGTGAACCATGCTTAAAAATTCTAAACACAGGCTCGACACATCGACTGCTGTGAACAGCACGGGAATCTTGCGTTAACATCTTGCTGGCTCGATTTTGGTGTTCTCCTGCTTGGGTCGAACGGCCCCCTGGAGTCGAGTGATATGCTGAACCGCCCGAGCAAAAGCAACCAGAATTATTGAGAGCCTTACTGATCGGATGTGAGCGGGTGAATCACGGCTTATTAAGACTTCCACTCTGCAGATCCGCCACGAAGAGCAAAGGAAGCCACCACATGGCAGCCCCTTGGCTGACCCTGTAGGGCCTGGCTTAAAAATTCGGGAATCGCTTGATTGCGTGCAAAGTCTTGCACGGACCACCCCTGCCTGTTGCAGACATCCTGCCGTGCCCCTGCTGCAATGAGGATCGCGGCGCACTCGTAGCGTTCAGACAGGATCGCTGCCATGAGTGGGGTCGAGCCCTGCATGTGGTAGCACAGGGTGGTAAGCGGCGTGACCCGGCCCAACCTGTAGAGAAGCCCGTGCCAGCTGACAATCAGGCCAAACGGACTCATCGTCTTGACTTCTTTCGGCTCATTATGTCTGCCCGGAGGTCAATCAGACCCTGCACAATCTGCGCACCGCCTTGGAAAGCAGCCGCGGCATGAAGAGACTCTGCAAGAGTAGCGGCCGCAAGTGCCTGAAGTCCTGCCTAGGTGGTGCTTTTAAAGCCTTTGAAACATATTAGTAGATAAGATCCTCTGAAGCCCAATAAGGGAAAATATAAAATGTCCCAAAGCCCTACCTAGCTGCTTGTGCACTGAGCTCTTCGAACGCCCCGGCCGAACCGAACATGCAGGCAATGCTGATGGCGGAAGTGCCCAGGGGATCCTTGCCAAGTGGGTCACAACGATTCCGGCAAAGCAAGCGAACGCCTTCGGCATTGTCTCCCATGCAAGCCGAGATCAGCTCCCATCCACCATCTGCCGAAGCCTTGGCGGCGAGCAAAAGCCGGGCGGCCTCATTGTTCCCGTGGCGGACGCACAAATCCAGAGCCCCAACGCCTGCCATGCCTCCATGGCTCCGGTTTGCTCGTTTGGTTACTTGGCAAGGATCGGCATGCTGCTCCAGAAGCCCCTGTATCAACAGAACCTCGCCGCGGAGAGCAGCATAGTGCAGCGGCGACCATCCAGCAGCGTCAACGTCCAAAACCGTTTCAAAACCATTCTGTAGCAAGAATTCGGCAACCTCAAGAGATATAGGATCCGCGTTCGAACTCAAGTCAGATTTGCCGGCAGGCAGGATGCTGTACAGCGGCTGCGCCATCATCCCTCGCAGCAACACAGGCTGAAGATTCAAGAGCACGCGGTATCCGACCAGGTCTTGTTCTTCGAGCAACAGTCTCAGCTTCCTCTGCAGTGATTTCTGCAAGATTGGGGCAAGCTTCGCTCTGTCTTCAGATTCAGAAAAAATGCCCTCGCCGGGAGAACTACCTGAGAAGCCCATGTGGGAGGCCAACTCGATTTCACTTGCGCTTTTGATGACGATCCCTGAGCTGTCGTGTGAGAGCTGCCTAATTAGCTTCTCTATGAGGCACCATCCCCGTTGGGACCAGGACGATTGTGTGAAGACTTTGCAGAGGCTGGGATTCTCAATCACTGGAACAAGGACGAAGAAGAATTCACACCTGGCGATGTATCCTGGGATAGAAGCCACTGCCTGTTGGAACTCATGATTCTTCTCCAGCTGCGGGCAGGAGAAGTAATCATACCAGAAGAACAGAGGTTTCGAGCTGAGTGCAGAAGTGCACATGCCGGAAGTGTTCAGGAACATCTCGGTGTGAATGTCGTGGTAGATCCGCTTCTGAGTGGACAGCAGGCACCTGATTGCATCCTGCAGAACTGACATCTGTCTGAAGTCCAGGTCTGGGTTGTTATCTCCAACCCACTGGTGGGAGATGAATGCTGCGTTGCCCATACCCTTCTGGAAGGAGACCAGCTCACCTCGCGCCTTGAGGGTTTCATGAGGCTCCATCACCGTCATCTGCAAGATCTCCTTTAAGGGCACCGTGTACATGGGGAAGCGGGCGGCCGGTACATCTTTGCTTTTTGCTCCTTGATTCCGCCTCTGCAACGACCTCGCGTGCAGCTCCAATGGTGTGGCTCTTGAGAATCCGCCGAAGCAGGCCATGGCTACTGAAAGTTTCGGTAGGGTTTTGGCAAAGCCTTAAATCTTAGTAGACAATTTCACGGACTTAAAACGTTGTTCAAAGACACTTCAATGGACTAAAAGTAGGTTGAAAAGGCTGAGGCTTCTGGAGGAGATCCAAAGAGAAAACCATGACAAACCCGAACACAGGATCTTCGAGAGCCGCAAAGCACGGCAAGAGCAGGGTTTAGGGTTTCAACATTCTTGGGGGTCCTGGTTTCTGCGCCCGCCAGGGTTTTTGACGCTCACGCTCGGCAATACCAGGCGAGGTCTGTAGAGAGACTAGGACTGAATGGCTGTAGAGCTGAGGGGTTTAGGGGTGAAGCGGGCAGGCTTTAGAGTTTCGAATGTAGGATTTATATGGGGGGTGTAGGCTTCAGAGTTAGGGTTATTGCTAGGGAGCTACTGGATAGGCTGAGCTGTAGGATGCTGTAGGGTCTACGAGCGGAACTTCTTTCCGGGGCTTGAGGACGCTTATTCATATTCCCACTGGAAGGCCATGCAACGACCGCCAGAACCTTGAACCCCAACGCCCTACTAAACCCTGAACCAGGGTTCAGGGCTTGCAGGTGACGCACCTGGGCTCACGAGATGAAATCTATCGAACCAAGAGGCTACCCCGCGGCTACCCCCCAGAACATCGCACCATCGAGATGCTTGGGGGTCGTTTTAAATTCAGGGGGTTCCTAGTTAAGTCGGGTTTCGGGTTTAGGACTTAGGGGTTCCCACGTGACCTGGCCTCAAAAAAACTAAACTTTTCCTGGGGGTTTACTTTACCAAACAAAATAGGCTGAGTACCATGGCCCAAGAAAGGTTAACCTTTTCAACTATGGTAGGGCTACATAGTCCCCAAGAGGTTAAACGTTATCTACTCAGCCACTAAGGTATAAGGTTTGCATATCGGGCTCCTACTTCGGGTCCAGGTGGTACTCGCTGAAAGTGGGCATGGCGAGACTGAGAAACACCCTTTATCACAGACTCAATAACAGCTGGTCTTTTAAGTAACCGGGGAGAAAAATTGTAAACTGTTACTTCATAATGGCTCCCTTTGAGAAAAAAGTATTAAAGTATGGTACTCCAAAGCCCAGACAGGGATCCGAGTACCCAGGCGCCCTAAACAGGAACACCCTAGATACAACAAGCCCGCGACTATGAACGCGATAAACCTTCCACCCTGAACCCTTTCCCAGAGGGTCCAAGTACTCCCTACTATAGGACTTTAGGGCCTTCTTGGGTACCCAAAACCATAAGTAGGAACTACTTGCACCCTTATGATTTTTTTGATCCCGGACTCTGCTGCTGAGCTAACAAAAAAACCCTCAACGCGGTACTGCTAACTCCTGGGCCCTGATCCTTGGACCCAGAATACAAAGCAGCAAGCCAGCCTCGGCTGTCACATCCTCGTCGGTTTTGCTCTCAAGGCCTGTGCCGTAATGTCTAGTGCCCAGAGGTTTACAGGCAGGGCCGGGTAGAGGTTTGGGGGTTTACTGTAGTCTCCATTGTAGTTCCATTTTTTGGTTTAACCAAGATAGAAGGATCCTATAAGGTAACCCCAAAAAGGAACTACAATGGAGACTATAGGTAGGGTGCGAGTCCATGCAGTGGCCTAGACTATTCAGGCCCAAAGCTTCGGATTACGGCTCAGAGGAGGAAAGCTTCTGTTTATGCTGTTGGTCTAGTTGAAGCTTGGGGCATGGGTTTGAGTTTAGGATTCAGGATTCATGGGTCTGGGTTTAGGGTCCAGGGCATGGATTTGGGCTTGGGTCTTTACCATCTCATAATCCGCAACCGGCCACAACTTGCGAGGCTCGAAGCCTAAACAAACAGATAGTTAAGACTGGGTTGCAGTGCTGGGGCCCTTAAATGTATTTATCAACAGGTACCTGTATAGGAACCATGAACTAAAAGGTTTTCCCAAGTGCCACCTAGTTATGGGTAGACATACAAGTACGGTAATTGGGGTCATAAGATCTCGGGTTTAGGTGACTCTCGCCGCCAGACTCTGAAACGGACAAAGATGCATTAACCCTCGAGCTACGGACTTGGATGGCGGACTCCGAAAAGCTAGGCTATACTTTGTTTTTCAGCTCCGTGGTGGTACTAGTGCTGGCGGTGGTGGTGGTAGTATAGTGGTAGCGGTGGTCGTGGTAGCAGCGCCAGCAGCAGCACAAGTAGTAGTAGCAGTAGTAGTAGTCGTAGCAGCAGCAGCAGGGGTAGTAGTAGAAGTAGTAGTAGTAGTAGTAGTAGTAGTAGTAGTAGTAGTAGTAGCAGCAGCAGTAGTAGTAGTCGTCGTCGTCGTCGTAGTGGTAGGAGTAGGAGTAGCAGTAGCAGTGGCAGTTGGCAGTGGCATTGGTAGGGGTGGTGGTCGTCGTCGTCGTCGTCGTCGTCGGCGTCGTCGTCGTCGTAGTAGTAGTAGTAGTCGTCGTAGTAGTAGTCGTAGTAGTAGTCGTAGTAGTAGTCGTAGTAGTAGTAGTAGTAGTAGTAGTAGTAGTAGTAGTAGTAGTAGTAGTAGTAGTAGTAGTATCAGTAGTAGTAGAAGTAGCAACTGCAACAGAAGTCGTAGTAGCTGTAGTGGTATTGGTAGTGGTAGTGGTAGTAGTAGTCGTAGTAGTAGTAGTAGTAGTAGTAGTAGTAGTAGCAGTAGTAACAGTAACAGCCGTGGTCGCTGTATGCAATAGCAATAGTAATAATCAGAGAAATGACGGCATGTTGTTCATTGCAGTAATATCAACAATAGATTTTCAATGTCATGGTGGCAAACAGCTATGTAAAGTAACATTTTGTGCCGAAATAATTAGCCATACTACATTAGTAACAGCACAAAATGCTGGTCATAACAATGTAGTACCTGTAGTCTCCATTGTACAAGTAGCTCCTTTTTCGGGTTTAAGCAATTATATATTCAGGATCCTACAAAGTAACCACAAAAAAGACCTACAAGGGAGACTATTGGTACTTCCTAACTGCATAACCGCAGTGGAGCTCAGCAGACACCAGACCAAGCCTTGCGTCTCCTTGGATCAAGCTTACTTACAAAAGGGGGAAAGCAGGGACCCTTAATGAAGACCCCTACCCTATAATGGGGTTATATAATGGGTATATAATCGCTATTTTAAGGGTATATACCTAGGGGTCCTTATTAAGGGTCCCTCCTGTTACCCTTGGATACTTACAGGCTCAGCGGGTGTAGGTCCGTTTTTGGCTCCATGTCTTGGCAAGTTCAGGGCGGTTAGGGTTCAGGGTTTGCTGTGGACTCATGCAGATTCAGTGCTGGGAATTACCGTACGGCTTAAGCCCCAGCTGTCAGGATTCGAAAATCGCAAGGGACAGAAACTGCAGGATACAAGTGAACGGCCTTCTGTTTCTTGGGAGATGGCCAGATTCAACTGCTGAAGGGGTAGTCCCTAAACCCTCACCCTAGTCTCCGTGAGTTTATGGGGGTTTAGGGTCTGGAGACCCCTATTGAAGAAAACCCCTGACGATGGCGCAGTTTAAGCATTTCCTTATGCGCTTGCCATAGGGGTCTGAACAATACGAATGGGGATTGGTGGTCTATTGTAAACGATAACAAGCATGCCCAAGGAATAGTAGTATGCAGGAACTTGATGGGCCTATATCCCCGAAATAGTAGGCTGCATATAAGGAGCCCTAATAACAGCCCAAGGTTTCTTAATCAGGCTCCTACACTCTTAAAGTACCCTTATAGATCCCTTATAGTAACCCTTATAGACCCCCTTAAAGGAACCCTACACCCGCAACCCCCTGAGCCCTAATTAGTGGTAGTTATCCATGCATTTTTCCTGGCTGTCTCTGGCCGTGGCGTGGCTGCCGAGCATCTGCGCTGGTTGAGGGTCCAGAGCCAACTGTGGCCTGCCAACAGCATAAGGATGATGAAGAGCTCCTTTTAAGGGGTAAGGGTTCTCAATTAAGTTTCTATAAGGGTACGGTAAGGGTCAGGGCTTAGGGTTTAGGGTTCAGGCTCCATGGTTTGGATGGGTTTAGGATATTTGTGCACAGCAGACACAATAGATGAATGAGAACGCAGAGGAAGAAAGTTTGGCGGTGTGGGAGGATCCACCTTCCGATCGTCATTAGCATGGCGAGCCCTGGAGAACGAAGGGAATGGAGGAATGGGGTACAATTATAACTACTATTACTACCATTCTTCCATTCCCTACTAACCGAAGGTAAGCAAGGTGGAGATCCGCCTTGAATGGACCTGAATCTACGCCTGTACTCTATCTCTCTCTGACAGGGTCCACCAGAAGCAATGGCTTTCGAAGTACTGTGTCCGGAAGGGCTGGGGTTTGAGGGCTTCCGGTCAAGGCGACATGCGAAAAGTGACTCTGAACGCATCTTGATGGTGCTGAAAGGGTCTGCTGTGCATAGGAACCTCAAAGAGGGCAAACCTCTCGTTTTCAGAAGCTCCTACCATGGCTGTGGGAAGCTCCTCTACTGGATTGGCCTTGGAGACCCTTGCAAGACAATTCTCAACATATTCAAGCAACTCAACGGCCAACCCAATACCAGTATACACGCTGCTACTGCTACTCAGAAAGCTGGCAGCCTTTGACTTTACGGTTTTATTCACGGCCCTAAACCCTAAACTCTAAAACCCTAAACATATGTACGCATGTATGTATGTATGTATGTATGTATAGTTATAGGGCATACACCTGCCCTTGAACAACATCGTGTTGCAGAGAGTGTAGGTCGTGGGCAAATAGGGGGGGGGGTGAGGGTAAACCTAGGGTTGCAGGGTGTCGGGCTCAGCTTATGGGTCAACGAAGCCAAACTCTACCTGGAGCCGCAGTTGCGGTCGCCATTTGTGGGCGTCGTCTCTTCGTTTGGGGTCCAAACAATGAAACCGACTGAAGGAAATACGGCTTAGGGGCTCTAAGGAATAATGCTTATAACATTAATACGAATAATTAGTTACAATAGTAAAAAAGAATAGAGGTTATAAGGAAACACAATTATCATGGTAATACGAACACTTACAATAGTAGTAAGACTATTGCTAATAGGAACTATGATTAGGCAGCTCGGAGTTCCCAACTGTCAACCAGTGGGCCTCGAGCTCGTCCTTCTGATCGTTATCGTCGCCTCCGGTCGTGAGGGCTTCATCCCAGAACTCAGGAGATTTTGCTCCCTCCTTGGGTTCAGGTTTTAGGGTTTCGGGTTTAAGGCAACGAACTCAGGAGTTTAGGGCTTGCGGTTCAGGGTTCCGGGTTTTGGCGCTCACACCCGGACAATCCAGGCAAGGCATGTGGTTCGGAGTCTGTTGAGTAAGACATATCCAACGGGAGAGGGTTCAAGGTTTGGACCCTAAACCCTAAACCATAAGCCCTAAACCCTAAACCCCTAAACCCCTAAACCCTAAACCGGGTACCAGCCTGTGGCTCAGCCGAAGGGCTGAGAACTCAAGACTCAACCTCATGTGTACCGACACTGAGCTACTGGGCGCTCACATGTGAAGTCCATGGCGCATGTCAAGTCATCGACCTATTATAGCGGCCTTAATCACGAGAGTATGGCTTGGGGGGCACAAGTTAGTATGCCTGTCATAATCAACCCTCGTGAGTAGTATCTGAAAACATGTAGACCCCTATCTTACATGCCATTATAACACTGCCTGCCTTATCAACAATATGGGCGCCTGTTGCAACCCTGCTTCACTTGCCTTGCCTTTTCAATATGCCACTCGTCACCACGGCATGGCTAGACAACGACGGCTCCTAGGCTCGTATCGCTGCATTCCAGTGGCATCGACAACGACTGCAGGAACGACAGCTAGTGAGACAATGACGACTGCTACAGCCACTGTTGCGAACGTAGCCGCCACCACCTGGACCAGTTTTCAGCATGGGCTTGGCCTGAAAATTGAACCTAGCTAGAAAACACGGTCATGTCGGAGCCGAACGGTTTGTAGGAACCTGATTCAAGGATCCACGCTGCTACATGCAAAAAAGAACCCAGACTAGGAACACAAGGACTAGCAAGACCCATGCAGGGCTCCTTCAGCAGGTGTCGCTTGAATGCCTAAACCTTTAAACCATGTAAATCCTTGGAATCCTGTTCCTGCCTAAGGGTTGCTGATCCTTCAGTTGAGAAACGAACGTCCCTCTGAAGCCCCTGGGCTCCACATGAAACTGTGTTCATGACGCATTGCACACTGACCCTTTTCACGTGCACTCATGCTCTCAGTCCGGCACTATACAACACCTTCGAGGTTACAAGTTAGACATGCAATGGTAAGCACTCGCGAGCTGCAGCATATCAGAACATACAACTCAAGTACGCGTCAGTAGGGCTTGCTACCTTTCAACTCGGGTTGTCTACGCTTACTAGCTTAGTGTTGGCCTGAAGACATGCTGCAACTACGATGGAGTCTGTTGTTCAGAGCTCCTGGGTGCTACAAAAGTTTCCAATGCTTGCTCTATCAGCCAGAGTCCTGTTTGTGCTACTTTCCTAAGTGCGTCACGTGGAATGACTCCTTTAGTCAATCCATCAGAAAGCATACTACGCGTGTCTACCCAGTGAAACTTGTCCACCACTTCTCGCACGACTTCACGCAACTTGCACAAGTGTAGTAACACAAGTTGGTCGGTGCACGTTGTCGTGTCGTTTCCGACCGCTGCCCAAACAGACTTCGCGTCTATTGCAACGTCTAAAGCAAGACTTTGCGAACCTGCATCTTGCTTAGCTGCGAGTTCCGTGGCAGAAGACACACCGTTCAGTACTTCAGTGAGTGCCGCATTAATGACGCAGGCAGCGCCTATTGCGTCAAGACAGCTGTGCAGTTCTGCAGCAAAGGTGGACCTGCACACCTTGCTTTGCTTCTTGCTCACAAACTCTAGAATTTGAAACTGATTCTCACCTTTGGCCAATCCCTCACGGGCGGCTAGAGCGATTATGCAACTGCGCATTGCAAGACAGTCCTGCTCTTCACCTTTGAAGGCAGAATCAGAAACCACCACTAGCTTCCAAGGAGACCTGACCTTACGGTAAACCAACTCCAAAGGCTTAGCTTTCAAGTACTTCAGGACCCGATTTGCATTGATTAGATCCTTCACTACTGGTGCTTTGAGGCGTCGTTGTAGTGCAGCAACGAAGACTGCTACGTCTGGCCTGGTCTGTACGACCCATGCCAAACCACCCACAAGGCTCATGAACTGCTGCGTCTGCCCTTGGCTGGCAGATTGCTCTGCAGGAAGCAGTTTGAGTTCAGCCTCAGGTATGGGCCTCAACTCAGAGACATAGGTCTGCTGATCCACAGATCGGCTGCCATCCTTTAACAACTTGTGCCTCAGACCTAAGTGCTCGAAACAATCACGTTCTATCTTAAGAGCATCGAAGGCTTGCTCAAGAAGAGACAGCGCTTGCTTAATCTGCGAAGAAACACCGGTCATTTTGAGGTCGTCAACATGTACAGACACAAGTAAAACAAGTTTGCCTGCTTCGTGTTTGACGAAAAGTTGCGAATCGACACGAACAGCTTTCAGACCTATTTTAGCAAGGACTTTCTGCAACGCTAAACCCCAAAGTCTAGGTGCATCCTTTAACCCAAAACCTGGCTTAAGCATCTCCAAGCATTCTTGTTGGCCATCGTAGTCTTCGAACCCCGGAATAGTGCGGATGAGTTCTTCGGCACCTGGTGGCAACAACATCTGCACTTTTCTTAGTACAGGGTCTACACCGCTTTTGTGCAACTCTTCAAAAGTGATGCCTCTGAGAAACGCTTCTGAAACGTCTGCAGACACCAGTTCCCAACCGAACTGAACAGCAAAGATTAACACCAACCGCTGTCCCCATCTAGTTGTAGTGGCTGCATAGTTCTTCACAGTTTGGGCATCCCTAAAACCTTGCACTACTAACCTCGCCTTAACATCCCTAATCCCCCCTATGGGCTTCCACTTAAGAACCCACTTTGAGGCAAGCACGTTGGTTGCACCCACACGTGGTGTGCGCTTCCAAGCACCATGGGAGTGCCAACGAGTTAGCTCTTTTACCATAGATGTCCGACATCTATCGGCATTTTCCAGAGCCTCCTCTCTAGTCAGCACATTGTTAACACGTTCGATCACAGCTTGATGCTCGTCTGACACGTAGACCACAACCATCTCGTCGGACGCGAGAGGCTGTCTCAGACCTAGCAGCAGGTGTGACTGAGTGGAAGGAAAGAGCAACTGCGGGGGCTCTTCCTGCAGTTCGTGCTTGTCTACTACAAAGCTGCTTTCCCACGCGGGGTCAAGGATGACTTCTGGTTGCAGAAAAACGTACGTGGAGAACAGAGGTTCTTGCTCAGGCTCGGTTTCACTAGCTGTTTCAGCTGTACGCGCTGTGGCGTCGTCAGGAGTGGCAATGTCATACACTTCAGGAAGGCGAACCTCAGGCTGAGGATCCTCCAACATGAGGCGTTGCCTGGTCCTACGCTGCACCTGCGCTGTAACGTCCTGAAGCGCTGGCATTGTAGGATCGTGCATGCCGCCGACATTGGGTATGTCGACAACAACTTGCCGAAGCTGATGGATAGCTTCCTGATCTTCCGCGAAAAACTGGACAAATGCAAGTTCGGACTTGCCGCACAGTCTAGCAAAGTTCACATGCTGATTTCCTGCCATAAAGGCAAAGTGTCCGGCCTCGAGTTGGCCCGGGCTCCAAAACAACAGCATGCTTTCGTCACAGTTTACGCCTGGAAGACTACTGACATTACTGCCAAACCGAAAAGAAACAGTTCCTGAAAACGACAGGTTGCAGGCTGCGACATGTAAACCGGCTAACAACTCTCTAGGGTACCTACTGTTAGCTTCGAATGCGCGCCATTCACCTTTGTGCTTAAACCAACCTACTCTTACTACCATGGCACTGTGCGACTCAGCAGCATTCTGTAAGACAGCAATTGGTGACGTTAAAGGGCTACTAACCAAAAGAGCTAGGTAAACTAAAGCTCTCCTAATATCTTGCAACCTACATGCTATCACCCTACCTTGCCATCTTACAGAAATTTGCCCGTCACGCAAACTGGTGACGTCAGCTACTACGGCCGGCCCATGCCAAGCCTCGATGTCTTTCGTGCTGGCCTTGCGCCAGAACTCCACAACATCACCTGGCTCTAGCTGAAGGAGCTCGCCGGAGCGACGGGTCTTAGTTTGCTCAGCACGACGTGCTTTGGCTTCTGCGGTGGCTTGCATCATGCTTTGAAGGGCAAGGTGCCGTAAGCGGTCGGCATCACGGTCGTCAATCACATCCGGCGACTGGTGACTAGCAACAGTGACTAAAGGAGGAACACGACCGTAAACAGCCTCATAAGGAGAGGCTCCACCTTGATTAAACAACACGTTTTTGGCAAAGGTTGCTTCGCTGAGAACAGCCGAAAAGGACGCTCTTATGCCTTCTGCTGTTGCGTTAGAGTCAAGAAGGTGAATTTGTCGGCGCAGAATTTCGTGATGTCGTTCCACCACATCTGCGTGCAATCCTTTTGCTCTTGGCTCTAACGAGACATCTCTTGCATCAAACCATGCTGCGGCCTCAGGACCTGTGAGACCTCCTTCTTGGTCTACAACTAAACCCTTAGGTGGACCAAAGTGCTTGAACCACGACTTCTGCAAAGCCTCTAACAGCGTGTCTGTGTGTCTGTTGTCTACGAGTTCGGTGGAAGTGTACCTAGTGCAAACATCTATGGTATGCAGTACTACCTTGTCCTTGACAAACAACAAGTCACACTGTATTACCTGGTTAAACCTGGTGGGCAAAGAAGAGGTGGTGACTGTACGAGGACCAGGCTTGGCCCAAGCACGACACACTTGACACGTGTCCACTATTTGCCGAGAGAGAACAATCACTTCTCGTGAAATGCCGGCGGCTTGCAACAAAGACTCCATTCGCGCGGCAGGCGCGTGGAACCAACGCAAGTGCAGACGACGAAGAGCACGTCTGACAACACCTGGCTGGCGTGAACGAAGCTCTTGCAAAGCTCTACCTACATCAAAACGTGACCATTCCTCGTCTTCGGCTCGAGGAGCTTGTGCTTCCTCCACAGCAGCTGGTACTGGTGGCTCAGGCGCTGGCGCGTCTGGACCTGCAGCCCTTGCCACAGCACGCTC